CCGCCACCGCCGGGGAGATGTTCACCGGTATGTTCCCGGGTTCCCGGGTTCCGCCAGTCATCCTCGGGCTGCTCCTCTCCATACATCCACGAACAGATCCTCAGTGTTCCTATATACTGGGGTTTACATCCATCTTCTTCTTTTTTTCTTTTTTTTTTTAGATAAGACGGTCAATGCGTCTGTATTCCAGGAATTTCAAGCACAAGCAACTCTTCATCTGCGTAAAAGAAAACAAAAGTTGATTTAAGTTCAGTGATCGGTGTCGCTCGGTCTTTTGCCTCAAAGCAGCAGGGGGTCATATGACTTCAGATCTGGAGCAGAGCCACGAAAAATGTTGGGAAACAGTCCAAGTTTTTTAGGCTTTGCTTCACTCTCGCTTCACTTTCAAAGACCAGACGCAGGAGGAGCGGTGGATCCGTGTGAAATAAGCAATGACATCACCAACAGCGACAACCCCACACAGCTGTTCTTCGATGACGCACCAAGTATCCTGTGGCCGTTTTGTGCATTATAGCAGCCGGTGAAAGTCGACTCAAACCACGCGCGCACGTGGCACATTGGGGGAGAGAAGTTGGCGCGTGTGGCAATTTTGTTGGTGCGTCATGACACCTGGAACTCACTCTTTTCCTGCAGGTCGACGGCTGGGGGGAAAAACGAAGACAGTCGTCTGATTTCTTCGCCTATGGGAAACGTAAACGACCGAGTAAGCTGAGGTGGTTAGTCCCGCTTTAAAAAGGCGTAAAGAAGGCGTAATTCGTCCTCCCCGGGTAGGCTATACTCCCACAGATGGAGAGAGAGAGAGAGGGTGGGGGGAGGAGAAACGACGAAGGGGAGACAAGCAGAGAGGAGGGATCACCGGTGACTCCAGCTGAAGGATTTCGAGGAAACTCCTGCAGCTGGGAGTCACAGCTCATATGTCAAAAACTGCCACTCATCTCGTGTTATAAACGACACGTTTCTCTGGAAGTTTGACAGGATACAGGCTTGTTTCCCGATCGTTTCTGGGGATTTGAATAGCCCCACGCAGGTCTGCTCGGGCTACAGTCATCCAAACTCCCATTTCAAACACCTATCTATTACTGCGTGAGACATCAAACAGATTTAATAGATAGTTGGAGGCCAGGTAGATGAGTTATCGTGTGTGGTCTGTAATGTGCAGGTTGATCTACTTGGTGTAAATCCACAATGCTGTGATTACATTGCCATGGAAACAATATGGCTGCTTGGCATATTTCAATCCCTGAGGGTGTTGTTCGATTTCTACACATCAGCAATTAATTAGGTCTTGGCTCTTTTTTAGTGTTAAAATCCATGTTGCTTCTGCCTAAAGTTAGAGATAAATGTATTGTGGGTATTTTTTTAACCTATGAATTATTCAAATGTATTGCCTTTCTGATCTATTGATCAGTTCATGAAATATCACGAGCTGTTTAATAGCATTAACATTGTTCCTGGATTGTATAACTTATTTGTGCAGATAAAAATCTTTACAAGGAATCACATTATCATATTGCTAAAAAATGCAGGGAGTACAACATGCACTTGTGAAAAATAACAAAAACTGAGTCAAATGAACCAATTAATTTTTTTTCACAGACTTTCAATGCAATTAATGTTTTATTTTACATCTCACAGAGGAATAAGGATGGAACATAATGAGCATTTCCTTTAAAAGCAGCTACTCTGACAAAGCCCTTTGCTTTGACATATCTCGTTTTTGCAGGTCTTGAGCTAACATCAGCGTTAAGTGTTGTAAAAGGAGAGGAAGAGGTGGCAAGGGAAGAGAGTGTGAACCAGAAGAAGACAAGAAGTACAGCGTAGAACACTTGGTATGTGGGAGAACTTTACAAGTGTATAAATTCACAGCTAAGGAGTGTTGCTGTGGCGTCACAGCAGAGCAACTGAGGGCTGTGTGCAGTTGCTAACCACAGATGAACTTGCACTAATGTACACCCTCTCATTAACACCATCCTCCAGGTTCCAAATGCATTCATTGGAAATTATTCTAATGGAAGTGAGTCACTCAATGAAAATACTGCTGAACATGTTTTTTATGATCAATCTAAATCTTCAATTGTTTACTTTATTTAGGTAAAGTTTGTTCTCAGAGGATGGCATAAAGGTATGCAACCTGCTTTTCCATTGTGGAACATCCAAAACCTCTATAGTTCTTAGTGAAGTGGACATTTCAGGATTTTCAGTCCTGTTTAGGCAATACCATTCTCAGTTGGAGGAAGCAGAGATCTTAAGTATAAAGACAACTGTGTAGTAGATAATCAAAGTGAATAATGTTTTTTCACTCAGCAGTAAGCTAAATTGCAAAATCAAACATGTGTCTCTGCAGTTTCTTTCGTTTCAAGTCTCAAAAGAAAGGAGTGCTCCCTAAAAACATTTCATGCCTCATCTTATCACTGATGATGTGATTTAAGAGGTTAAACTAAAAACAACATGTTTCTAAACATAATTGCAGTACAATAAAATATTCTGAAATTTTGCTGAAATTAAAACTAGCCTATTGACAAGCGTTGATACCTTTGATTTATGTTTGGCTAGCTTAGAAATAAAACTCACATTGATGGTTCAGAGCTACAGCAATAATAGAGCAAGGAGACAATATCATATATGGTCGATTGTTCACAAAAATGGGAATTCTCTGCAGCTTCACTGTATGTGAGTTCAGTGTTATCCAATGATTCTTTTCAACTAGTTCCTGTTCATGCAGTAGCAACAAATATTACTTACTTACTAATTACTCATTTTAGCCAATTTAAATACAGAAACCTTCTGGAAAAACTTTAAACTTACAAACATAAGGTTTAAAAGTCTGAGAGTGACTTGACTGTTTCAAGTTCCAGGCTTTGTGATGATGGGAAACATGACATCAAAAGATAAGCAAAAACACTTTCCCCTTTCTTAAATCATTGCAACTGGAAATATCTCAGGGGATAATTCATACAGATCTGAAACATTTTTATGCGACCTGATTAACTCAGTCCAAACCACATCAAGCACACTAAAAAGTGAACACAACACATGAGGAGTTTTATTTTGTATTGTATTGTTAACATTTAGGGCTTTTAGGGAATTGTCGGGTGTCAAGATTCAGAAGATTGCTAATTTTCATATGTCCAAAGGTAGTTACTCAGAATCATAAGCTGTGGATATTTAATCAATCTGACTCCCAATTTCCATTTAGAATGGGTTATTATCCATCCTCCATGCTCACATTTGTTATGAAAACATCACAACCATAGGTGGCTTTCATGTGATGCCATTTTATGATGATTGACACAACAGATTCATTTAATGTTTACTTCTATAATAAAATAAATGCAACAACAAATAACAAAGACCTAAATATTCCACTAAGTAATATAAAATATACCTTATTATGCTCTGGGGTTGTCACCTACCCTTATAAGCTGAATCATAACGGGTGCTGATATTTCTAAACACATCAACAGGTTAAGGTCAGTTTCACACAGAATTTTTAAAGTATTCTACGGACAGCTTTCTTTTTTAAAGTAACAATGCCCTCTACTGTCCCAACAAAGACACAATGTTAACCATGTGATGGGGTATCAAGTACAAAGGAATAAAAAATAAATGAGAAACTACTTGATCAACCGTTTTAAAAACATGTTTTTGCTTTTTCTTACTCATGATACAAACACCTATGGATAACATTACCTGAAATACCTGAATTCTTTCACAATAAAAAGAAAAAAGCTCTTGGCTGATTTAAAAGAATCAACTTTATCATACTACAATAAAGACATAATTTAACTTTGGAAAATGCTATAAAAATTAACTGAACTTTAAAGCCTTATCATAAATTTGCAACAGTAAGATCAGTATTAATAGCTGAAATGACCTACAGTTTGACAACAATTTAACATTTAAGTCTACTTGTCTTTTTTGTTTTCTGACAACTTTAATAAAGGGGTTATAAAGTGTTTTTATTAAGTGATTTCTCCCATTTTTCATGAATATTCAGAAAAGAAATAATACGATAATATTCATGGCATTTGTTAAGCCAAGTTGCTGCTCTGTTTTTCCATATCTCCCCAAAGCTATATGTTTCTCTAGTATTACATACAGTATATGCTGGTTGTGAAGAGCAATGTCTTACCTTTCTTTTAATAACACAAGCCATTACATAACAACAAAGGGTACTATTAAAGATTAAAAAGGACACAGAAAACAACTCAAAATGGTGGAGCAATTTATTTGAATTTGAAAGTTCTAAAACATTGGAATATGCTCTGAAATTTGGCAGCATGCTCAGACAAAACAAACGTTGGGTTGAAGCACATAAAGCACACACATACAGAAAATGTGGATAATAAAATGACCCAATTTGGGGAAACATAAGAAAGCAGTGAAGAGTTAATTTTTCTTTCATATCCATGGATGATCATTTCTCGTGTGCAAGAATAGAGAAAAGGAATTTGGCTGCCTGTATGGATAATTGAAGTCAAAGGTAGTACTAGTGCATGAGCAGGATGTTAAATAAGTACCACATCAATCAGATTTGTCTCATTGAGAATAAGCAGTCCGTGTTATATACAGTGTTTACACAACATACCTTATACATTACAAAGCCTGTGACACTGAGGTAATCATCCCATCAATCAGCAATCAAACGAAGGGCGAAGGCTAATAAACTTTGTATATCATAATCATTATGAGACAGCAGCTTATCCATATTGTCATATAAATATAAATACATTATCTTTACTCACTTGGAAAGGAGGTTATGTATATTAGCAATTAAGTACAAAATGAAAATATTTTTTCTTCTATGCCCTTGAAGAGCCAATGTCCATTTGTCTCGTGTGTGTCACCTGCCCACCTAAAATTAGATTTAGTTTTTTAAATGACTTCTCTATATGGGACCACAAAACTATGGGATAATGAAAGTTCTTTTTTTTAAAGAAAGCAAATAAAATGGCTCCCTATGGTACCATGGTCATGAGGGCGGGCTCTGTGCTGGTGGATCACCGTGTTTTCAGCAACGCTCTGTACATGGCAAAGCCCAGCACTGCAAACACAGATGCCCCGACGCTCGCCCGCAACCAGAATGTAGAGCTGGTCAGGTCTGCTTGGCTTAGTTGTCTGTAAAACAGAGGCACACCCAGGATATATCAATACTGATACAAAAGGAGTTCAATGAAAGCATGTGAGATGAAAAGTCAAAGTCTGCTGGCATTAACTTTAATCTAAATCGTGCAAAATTTGCTGGAAAACTTATTTACTGGAATAAGCTGAGGTGGGTGGCAACATGCAGGCTGGAATATTATAATGAGCTAGAGCTAATGACGTCATAAACTACAGATTCCTAAAACCTCCTGAATTATCTCCTGTATTGAGACTGAGGCAGCCCACAAAAATATGACTGAGTCTTTTTTTTTCACACTTTGCCTGCTGATAGGCCCTTCACAGTCCCAAATGCACATAATCAAATGATTAAAAACTTGGTTTTGCATAATATGTCCCCTTTAAATAAAAAGTCACCAAAAAACACATAATGCACATGCCGAAGTCCAATGAGGAGCTTTGGGACGTCCTTCAAGAGGCCTTGGGAGCTATTCTTGAAGACTTGTCAAAGAAAGTTCCATTTTTGTTCAAGGATAAGGGGTGCTCATACGATATATGGATTTTCAGTCTGGTTCAAACAGTAAAATGTTTTGCTAGTTATCTTAGCAAATTTCTTAATTAACTGCTGTGAACATATTTTCTATCCAAATGCAAGTGTAAAATCGTCACAAGAAACTTTTAAAACATTGTTTAATCACTTTAAAAAATAACTAATAAAGCCATTATTACTGTGAATTGTAAAGCAGAGAGAATATAAATTCATGAAGCAATGATACAACTGTTTAATTCTTTTTTTATAAGGGGTGCCTGCAGCTGCCTGCTGTGAGGATTTATTGCAACACCCAACGGTGATTAGCAGAATGACAAATAGGAATCAATAACAATAAGCACGCACTGATGGCAAAGAAACACAAAAGAACAGGGAAGAAAAAGAAAATGAAGTTTTTAAGAGACCTTCTAAGCACCACAGCGTAGAGTTTGGCCCTGACAGTCTGCAGCAGCTCAGAGTTGAGGAAATTCTGACACAGGCAGAATGTGCACCGGTTACAGGTGCACATGCAGCGCAGACGAGCATGGCTGAGGAGAAATAACAACATACAGTGCGGTTTACAGATGTACAGGGTTGGACAACACACACACATAATAAAGAAAAAAAGGAAAATGTTAGTCCAAACAAGCCACCACTGCCGAGTCCAGTCCAGTGAAAAGAAAAGAAAAGCTCTGAGCTGGATTCATTAAAAGAAGGAAAGAATTAGCCTTTAAAATCGTTTCGCTTTTACACCACGATACATAAATAAATAAGAAATTCAATTAACATGCTTCTTCTTGACTGTTATTGAAATCGGCGAACATTTCTCTGGCTGCAGTCACAGACCGATAAGTAAAGAGAAGTAGTTTGTGTTGACAGACTGTCAGACATCAGCATTAAAGCTCTGCAGGGAGCTCCTATGTACACAATGCAAAACCTTCTGGCATCTCACACAAAGCAGTTAATCCAGAGGCCAGAACATTAATAAGTGTCAAACATAGCAAAAGCATCCTTCTTTTAAGGTAGTATATGTGACAACTAATCTGTAAGATAAGCAAAGTAGCCCTGTCATATAAAGGTAGAGTCTGAAATGACCATATACATACGGGTGCATGGCCATGGTGGTTAGCTTGGTGTAGATGTCTCTGCAGGGCTCTGCTGTTGTATTGCAGGTGAAGGACTGAGGGGGTGGCATCTTGTGCCTCCTGCAGAATTCCAGAGGACTGCAGCCATATGCCTGTTTGACCTCCGGCAGGTCGGACTTCGCCGCGATCATCATGCATGGCGTCTTGCTGTCCATGAAGTATTGCTAAAGGGGGAGGGGACATCTGCTATGGCCTTTTTTTTTTTTTTTTACAGCATGCGAAAGTTCAAACTTTTGGTATTTCATCAACACTGGACACAGTTCTACCTTGAAGACTTTGGTGCAGTATTCAAAAGAGTAAGGGTTGCTGACATCATAAACCAGGCAGACAATGTCACAAGCCAGGTCGGCATCAGATAGGTACTCGAAGTCAGGGAATACCTCATGAAGCTGGAAGGGAACAGAGGGCATGTTTAATCAGCCGCAAAAAGAAAATATGGACTGGATTTAAAACTACGTTCCCTGCTCTGGTCATGAGATAGGCATATTTATATTTTTTACAACACTTCTCTAGGTTGCTCGGAAGGACCCCTTGTCAGCTGACATAAAGAAAAAAGTGGAAGAATGAAAAGGACTTGTTTATTTCCCCTCTAGCAGCATTGTGTTTACACACGGGCCATAATTGATTCCTTCCTTCCTTCCTTCTTTCTTCGGTGATGTCATAAACTGGGCCTAGCTGAAGTCAAACGGTAAGCAGTGCGGATGCTTTTGTAAAGCAGGTGCTTTACAGTGCTTAATAGACAAATGCACCGGTGATCTTGATAAGAAGCTTATACAACTGGCCTGCTTAAGCACTCTAAGGTGGGAGAGCCCTCTTGGTTTCATAGATACAATGCGTAACAGGAAAACAGGTTTTGAACAGGTTTTGAACATGTTTTAAAACGACAACTAGCATATTTAAGTTCCAAATGTGAGCTTTAACTCCAGTTTGTCAGCACTGAAATAACTGTTCAGGAAATTTTGAAAACATTACTAATTAACAAAACTATAAATAGCAACGGAAAAGTTTTTTTTAGACACTCACAAGAAGGTACTTCTCTTGGCCGTAAACATAGGTCGTACTAATGGCATAGTAGGACTTGTGTTCCTCCTTAATTGTCTTTTGTCGCTGAAGAAAGGAAAAGAAAGAAAAAAAATTTAATCTCATGTAGAGGGTGCGTGTAATGGGGTTTTTCATTAGTAGGTATTCCTCCATACTCAGTTTAGGCAGTTTTTTTATTTTTATTTTAAATGAGGTCCCAACAGAAAGGCAGCGGTCAGCCCTTAGCATCATTTGTATCTGAAACAAGCAGGAGACAGCTATGAAGGACATCGTGGTGACAATATACCAGCTGAACCTCAGTGTTGGTTAGAGGTGTTGGTTCATGTATTTTTTTAATTTACAATGTTGATGATCATAGAAATAATTAAATCAGATGTTTGTTATTGCCATGTTTTAATAATAGATGGGGGTTCACATGAGGGAGTTGATTATCGTGTCATGGGTCTCCCTGGCCAATTTGCACTTCTCAACCAACTTGGGAGCCCCAGCTGAATAGGTACTAAAATTGTAAGTGTAAGGAGATGCATACAGTCGAGCTGAGCCAACTATGCACTGGTGTAAAACTCCCATTTAATGTGTCGCAAAGTATGATAAGTCCCTCACTAGGAAGAGCTAAATAAACACGAATTCTGCTAATTTAACATGATTTTGATGACGTTCTCAGTGTTTTTATCCATGTCTGGAAATGTGATCAGATATGTTGAAACATCTCATAACATCTAATAACACTTGCTGTGGGGAAGCCTTGACCCAGTCATCTGGTATCACAATTCAGGCTTTCTCCAAGTCCTCAAATCCTGGATACTCATCCACCTTTCCTGATTAGAGCACGGCAGCTTGAAGCATTGACTTTTGCCCAGTATAGCTCACCTTTTGACCGGTGCCATTATAATAAGATAATCAGAGCTAATCACTTCGACCGTCAGTGGGATTAATGTTTTGGTTGATGGTTGCAACCTTAAAACATTTCCATTGCAGCTCATTCAATATAGCATGGCACGGAGTATTTAGTTTATTTTAATCAATTTCTTCTTACCATGAGGTTTCTACCCAGGAACCCTTGGAGGAAGCCACTCTTGCCACTGGCAATGTCTCCAAAGATGTTACATTGAAAGACGCTGCGCTGGGTCTGCTTCTTCTGCAGGTCAATCTTCTTATCTCTGGTCACTGCAGGGAATAGGGGGTGGGGTGGTGTTTTGAGGTGTAAACCACACAAGTATCAACATCTCAAACAGAATTCTGATTGTGGCTTCCACTGTCTTTGCTGATCAACTGACATAACACTGGTTTGGCAAAATATGGCAATAAACGATGAAGCTTTAAAAGAAAATATAAATCATATATCAATTTTAATCATAGTACCTGTCACTGTGATGTTACATTTACAACCTACTGAACTTTATCATTCCACCCAGCTTATTAATATTCCTGTAAACTTGCCTGTTATTCCTGCTGCTTGGGACTCCTGCTCAGCGACTATTGAGTATCCCAGGTAGCCCAAATACTCCAAACATCGCTGGACATCCAGATAAGTTGTTAACCTGGGCAATGAAACAGTCAAGGTCAAACATCATATTCAAAATGAGTGAAAAATCCATTGGTGATTAGACATCAATGGAACATTCAGTTTTTATGGTCTTCCTTCAGCCCGGCCTTGTCTTTGATGCCACGCAATGATGCCATTGATGTACTTCAGAAACATGGCATCGATCTACGTTTTTTCCCACTGTCTAAGCTCCCTTTTTGGGGAAACGTTACCCAAATTACTGACAAGGAAATAAGGTTAAGGTTTAGGGTGAGAAGCTCGGCCATCCGGGAGGGGCTCGGAGTAGAGCCGCTGCTCCTCCACGTGGAGAGGAGCCAGTTGAGGTGGCTCGGGCATCTGATCAGGATGCCTCCTGATCGCCTCCCTGGGGAGGTGTTCCGGGCTCGTCCCACCGGGAGAAGGCCCAGAGGAAGACCCAGGACCCGCTGGAGGGACTATGTGTCCCGGCTGGCCTGGGAACGCCTTGGGATCCCCCCGGAGGAGCTGGCTGAAGTGGCCGGGGAGAGGGAAGTCTGGATTTCCCTGCTCCGGCTGCTGCCCCCGCGACCCGACCCCGGATAAGCGGAGGACAATGGATGGATGGATGGATGGATGGATGGAAATAAGGTTCCCAGGTTGCTATTGAATGCAGCGTAACCTTAAATCCTAATGAGAAAACTGTTAAATCAAATAAAAGAGAACTGTGTTCTACTGTGTAGACGCATGTATATAGTATATAAACATATTTATCCATTTTCCCTAAATTCAGAAATGTCCTGGATATATAATGTAAAATTAATAATGTATGTCACACAAATGTTTTGTAAATAACCAATTAAGAAAAAAATCTAGTAAAAGCCAATATAACTACACCCAGCAGAGATGTAAAGAATTCAAAATATAACATATTGTCTGTCACATGTTTTGCATCTTACCAAACCTGTAGGATTCAGTGCCACCACAAACAGTATCTTGTGAAACAGTGAGGCTGGTAGCAGAGGGCTCCACAGGCAGAAATTATTCCCCTCTGCACATATCCATATAAAAGCTCCGACTACTTACGTCCACTGTGAAAGATACCCCTGGTATGTGATCCAGCCCTCATCATTGGTGCAAACTGTGTTATTGACATCCGGGCCCCAGGGCATATAGGGGAAAATGTCAAATAAGTCCTTCAACTCTTCGGGCGACAGGGCGCAATCACGGTCCTGGGAATGTGAAGCAGCTAAAGTAAAACTCAGGAAAACAGACATGATGGGCTGATGCTCACTTTCACGGCTGGAGGCTAATCGCTATGACAGCCTGATGTTGCCACTTTCATTCTTGACAATCGTTACCAACCTGGCTGCTTATGGCTGCGGAATTTTGTAAATCCCGCCTCAGAGCCAACAGGTTTATTTGCTCCTCAGCAGTGGAGCAGCACTGGCAGCGGTAGTTTTTTACCTTTCGCCATTTTTGGGGGTTCCCAAGGGTTTCCTGAGACTAAAGTAAACATGTAAGAGGGCACACAGGGTACATACCTTATCATGTTTGTCAAAGACACTCTGGAGGAAGAGGTAGGCATTGTGATTGAGCTCAGTGGTGCAGTCTGGAGGAATTTTCAGCCTAAGGAACATGAAATGCAATATTACATGTTGTGAAAAAAAATAAAAATAAATAAATATATATATATATATACACGCACATGCATATATACATTTACATAGACTCACGGAGGGAAGAGGTAGTCTTGATTTAACTCCAGGTCGTCATCGTATCCAAATCTCCTCAAAACTGTCCAGGTGGTTTCATGGCGACCTCGCTGAATGAAAAGTGTGTGGAGGAACAGGAAGCCTGGACGCCAACAGAGGTGAATTATCCAACTCAGGCAGGTGCAAAAATTAGGCATAAAAAAGACCTTGGTTTTCTCCCTCCTACCTTTAAGAGTAAGGCCATTGTCAAATACTCCATCTATCAAATTCTTCCTGACCACGTTTTTGACATCCTCCAATGCCTGTGGCTCCAGGGGGGTGTTGAAGCACGTCCGCTGTGAGAAGTCATATGAAAAACAGTTTCTCACGTCAAAACCAATTTCACTTAGTTTGTCCCCGGAAAACAACGGCCAATTTACCTGGAAGAAGTTTAGCTCGTTGTCATTGAGAATTCCGTCATTGTCCAGATCCGACACTTTGAAGATTCGAGTCAGAGCTTTTACACAAAGAGGCTTCATCTGAAAACGTGGGCCACCAATCAAAACTGTTCCTCTTTACGAGGACATTTCTGCTCATTTATAGCATGTTTCAAGTTGTTTAATTGTAAATATCCATAATAAATCTCGCCCGGTGACTTTACTTGTTTTCTTCTGCTCACAAAATAACTAGATGCTAGATTTTTCTGATGCGAAAGAAGCTTCAAAGAACCGAATGTAACAAAAAGAGCACAAGATTTAGAACATTTCCTTTTGCTCTTACGTCTTTTTTCTCAGGGCAGTAGAGGGGACCCGTGGGGTGGAGAACCGCCTTTTGGGCATAGTAAAAAAGCTCAGAGATGTTCTTCAAATTCTTTGCGGAGCACTACAAATAAAGAAAAAGAAAACAATTACATCTGCTCTTTCTTTTTCTATTAACAATATCACCAAGTGGTTCTGAAACATGAAGCCTGGAATATAAACACTTCAGTTTTTTACTGGCACCATTCTGAGTAGTTCCAAGAGAGAGAATTAAGACACAGGATCAGTCAGAGAAATACTTCTAGTTTAATTGGTCAGCCGGTAAAAAAAACATAAACACACAGGTGATGCTCTGGAAGAGGACATTCAACAACTAAAGGAGCAAAACTTAAGAAAGAAAAGTGGGAGAGATGTCCAGTACCCCAAGTTCCTAACCTTCTTCTGTTATCAGACACACAATGTTTTTAATGTGCTGATCTCCAAAAGACAGATTATTAAATTGTGTGTGTGTATCTTGTGCACATGCTCTTGTTAAAACTCACCATAACCTGTAATGAAGCACAGGAATTTAAAGGGATCAAATAGAACGAATATAAAGAAACATTGGGAAAAGGAGAGACAAGTCTCAATGTAATTGGTGTTCCGGGAACAAATAAATAAACAGTGACAAAGTACTTCCTTTTGTCATGAATAGAGTTTGAATGAAATCATTTTGTGAGGTTTTTCAAAACAAATAGTTGTTGTGCCAGAGAAATCGTTTTTACAGACTTTGATCTCACTCACTTCAGCAGTATTGAGTTGTATTATTATTCTACTTTTTTTCTTTCCTTTTTTTGTGAATTAATAACACCATCTGTAACAAGGAGGCTATAAGCATTGCTGGAAAGCGGGGGTGCCCAGCTCGTGTCCAGCAGGTTTTAGATGTTTCCCTGATTTACCACACCTGTTTAAAATGAACACACCACAGGCAGACATGTGAAGAACTTACTTTTTAAAAAAGATTTCTACTCAACCCAATTCATATGTATGCAGAGTAAAAATTATTTTTAGAAAAGGGAAAACTCACCACCAACCACAGCACATAAGAACAGACATTTGAGTCATGTTGTGTGCTTGGAACACAAGAATAAAACATGGGGGAATAAATAGCACTAATGGTGGAATTATAATAACGTTGCCTTGTGGGTGACCTGTAGACCAAAAAACGGGGGTGGGTAGCTGCTGTTTGCAAAGTTTATTAATTTCCTTGCGTGAGTTAGTATAAACATTCAGCTAAATCAAACGGCTGCAGCAGATTTCATTCCCTCACCTCCACACAGGTCTCTATCTCGCAGTACTGGTTCATGATGGGCAATATGGTCTCCATGCTACTGTGGTCCACAAGGTCAGACTTGTTTCCTACCAGGATTAGAGGAACCCTGAACACACGTCACATCAAAATTGTAAAAGCTGTGGCTGATCTCACTGTGCAGGAATCTGCTTTTTTTCTGCGTGTACGCACCTGCTGTCCTTGTCTGTATTTTCCGTAATGAGGGGGATCCAGTAACTGGTCACCTGTCAAGGTGAATATAAATAAGTTTTCACCGTCATGAGATATATCATCATTTCTGAATATCACAGAGCCACACCAATGCTCCCATATGTTAAATCCTTTAAATGATATTTAACCAAATAGTGAAATGCTGCCAGCAGAGGTGTCTCACCTTCTCTATGGACTTCTTGTTATTTACAGAGTAGACGATGCAAATCACATTTGCCTATGCATGAAAGAAACACAGAGAACCATTAAAAATTTGACCCGAGCTCAAAGCTATCAATTTGTAACATGTATCCTAAAATCTCTGAAAAGAATTATGGCATGACACCAAGTAAGTAACAAGGTAAACAAAAAAAATGTTACCAAAAGAAAGGAAACAGTTTAGTCCGTCATGCTCTGCTCTGTAAGTTATATTCAAAAAGGGGGGGTCATATTTGGAAGTTTTAATATATTTTAAGTTGAAGCAACATTATGGAAGCACCTCTTGTTTTCATTTTCTAAAATAATGACCTGCTAAAGTCTGAATATGATTATAAGTTTGTATTTGTCCACTGCAGAGCCAAACCAAACAGTAAGGTTTTTGAAGGGGAAACATACAGGAGGATGTAAATTAATATGTTATGAAATCGGGAAGTGCACTCGAACAGAGATTTAAAAAAAACACATTTGGAAACAGGGGTTCAAGTTTGAGAAAAATAGAAAGAAAAATAAGGAACCATCTCTAAAAAATGGGATCTACATTAAATGCCAACTGGCAACTTAGGAGCAGTAAACGGGGCAACTGTGAGCTAAAAACAAGCTGTAGGTGATTAAGTGGAAGTCAGTGCACACATGGACAATAAAAATTCTAAAGATGACTTTTTTCAGGGTCTATGCTGTTTAATGGTAAAGATAACTTAAACTTTTATTCAAGGAAGATGTAGTTTTTTGACATGACCAATCCAAGTGAAGATTTTGATGGCATTTTAAGCTAAATCTGTACCTGATTGTTTTCATTTGTGAGGTCAACACCTAAGCTTTCATAAAATCCTGAAGAGCTGCAACAAAGAATAACTGTGATTCCATATTTTTATTTCAATATCTTCCCCTCTGCATCACCTAAAATTCACAACTGACCTTAGCAATCTCCTGAAACAGTTGCTCGTCTGTCTGCTCTGCGTCTGTGGAGGGAACAGAGGCATCATGGCAAAAGAAAAACAGCAAGAAAAAAAATAAAACAAGGAAGTGCTTTTCTTTCCAACATGGCCAAGCCTAAAGGACTAAAAAAAAACTATAAGAACAGAAGACAGCCATGTTTCCAAAGCACCTGAATAATCCACAATGTGTGTGGGGACTCTCTCTGGTGTGACATCTGCAGGTATAGTAATCTCTTCAGCTCGGTAGGGAACCTAGGAGAGATATTTGTTAGTACCAGCATGAATTCAGAGAAACAGGCCAAAGATTGATGTTAAAGTCCCTCTGACTAAAATGTGTTCATACCACATCTGGGAACTCCTCACTGACCAGAGACATGATGAGAGATGTCTTCCCCACTTTGGCTGTGGAGGGATGTGCAGTTATTTTAGTGACAAAAGTTGTTTTGAGCCCTAATATGACTTATAATGGATTACAAAAGCATTGTGATCTATGTGAATGGATTAGCTGGGGGTGGAATGAAAAAAATAATGTTTAGGCTGAGTCATTGAGGAAAAAATAATTTAATACTAGGGGCTTTACAAATTAGTTATTCCAAAGCAAGGACGACTTAGACATTTTCTCAGCATCACACGCTGAGCTAGTGTCATTCGTGTGAGCACAACAGCAATTTATAGATATAAACACAAATAAAGCGAGACGTACGCTCTCCAACCAGCAATATCCTCACGTCCTTGCGCATCTTCTCCGACGTAGTCAACCAAGACGACGACTGAGAGGTTGGTGGTCAGCATTCATGTCCCCCCGCCCCGGTCCGACATTCAACTCCCGCTCTGCTGGAGGGATACAGCCAGCCAGCTCACCGCGGCCTGGCTCGGCTCGCCCGCTAAGGCTACGTTTGCATCTCCGCTAAGGTTTCCACGGGTCCGCAAAGCACGAGACACGACAGGATAGTCCAAACAAACCGTCCGACACCCGGAGTACAAATAAAATCTTTCTTAAAAAATACTGCTTCGCCTGCCAGACACTGACAGGGTAGACTGTGATAATGCTACACCGGCAACCGTGTCACACTAGCCTGACAGTTACAGTGAGGGTAAAAACACCGCAGCATCAGCGAGCGCACAGCCGATAGCGGAGCTCGCGTGCGTGCTTTCTCATGCCTTCCGCCACGCCTCAACCATTCAGCTGACTATGGCTAAAAGTGAAATAGTTGCCTTCACTATATGCTTTGACAATAGGAGTAGACAAGTAAATACAATTTCTACAACAGACAGTTTAAAATAATTGCTATTCGTAGTTCTTTTCATGTTTAGTGAGCAAGAGGCGTTTATCGTGCCAGGAAAATATTCAAGTAGTGAGACGTCTGTTTTTTTTATCTCATCCTGGAAAAATCTGTTAACGTACGCCATCTTGAGGCAAGAATAATATTAACAGTAATTACATTATTGAAACCTGCTGGGTACATTTGTGCTGCAGCATAATTATGATGATTAAGGAACTTTTTTGAACAGGTGAAAATGTATGGTAACTTTTGGAAGGTCACAAGTAAACTGCCAATGTTCTCGTAACAATGTTGATTTATTAAGGAGACCTTTTATTTTTTCTTATGGTGTCATCTATCATGTGTCAGAAATAAACTAAAAGGTGTACATTTTTAGTGATGCAGTTTTTCTTGTGAAATTATAAATTATTATTTTTTTAAAACAGTTTATGAAGGATATTTGGATCCATAGTGTGTTTTGCTTCCCTAACCTTGTACTGACCACAAACAAAAGATAACTAGGAGCCACATCCTTATTGCATATAATTTGAAAGATTAACTCGAATTTGATTAATACATCTATGACAAATACAAATAACCTGAAATTCTTTTGTGACCAATAGGTCTCAATTGGTATATGACGGAAGAAAAGAAGATTTGGGTAGAAATATTAACAATAATAACAATTGTTTTTAAAATATAATGTCCAAATTGTTCATTTCATTCATCAATAATCAGTGTTTTAATTTGATAACACAGCTTGTACGAACACAATTCCTTGACATAGGATTAAATGTTTAGAATTTTTTTTCCCAGGGTTCCAGGCTGGCTTATGATTTCCCTCACATTGTATTACTTTTTTTCTGATGGTGCTTCTCTAATGGCTGAAAAATTAATGAATTAAAATGAATTCTCACTGACACTTATTTTTCCTTCCTTAAGGCATATCCTGTGTCCAAATCATTCAAAGTTGTCTGAGCACAACATACATTTCCCCTAATAGTGAATTGTTTGTCTCTGTGTGCCCCTCCAATGGACTGGCGACCTGTCCAGGGTGTACCCCGTCTCTCGCCCATTGTCAGCTCAGATAGGCCTTAATCCCTCTGCGACCCCGTTAGGAAAAAGCGTTATAGAAAATGGATAGATAATTAACAGTTTACAGTCAACAATATTAACATTGTGAAAAAGCAACACCAGCTTTTTTTTTATCTGACTCATGCTTGTTGTGCTGTTAACAGCATTTAAAGCCAGAGTAAGGTCGTTAGTTCATGTAAATAAAGAACTGTTAATCAAAATGTTCTAAAAAGAATAAATTACTGTTCAATTTATTATCTTCTTCCAAAAGTATGTAATAAAATGTAATCAAATTCTAGAAAATCTGCAATTTGAATTTAACAGATACAGAAAATATCAATAGAAAACTAAATTCTAAGCATAAAAAGAAATGAACATCCAAAGTTGAATAAATACAATATTTTTTTCCAGTATGTACACGGTACACTGAAAACGAGTGCCTTGATGAGTTGTTGTCATGGTGCTGGTGCCATTTCAAGATCCACTTCTTCTTATGTTCAAAGGCTTTTTATAAAGCCAGAATCTCAGCTAATACATGTCTACATGTCTAAATCAATCCCCCCGCCTGAAAATGGCCTCATCTGTAAAAAAAATAAAAATAAAAGTTAGGAAAGACTTAGCTGTCAGCATTCAATTTATAGGGTAATTTACTAACAAATCTTAAACAGAAAAAAACATGGTATCTGTGGAAAACCATTGTCCTACTAGCATAGTCCTCTGAAGTCATGGGTTGAGAGATGATTTTTCTGAAGGCCTCTATCCATTCCCTCTGCTCCTGTGCGTGTTCACACATAAATAAAAACTGCCTTTCTGGAGTTTCCAGTGTGATCCTACAGTGCCACCGGCTTGTCCTTGTGCCCCGCCCACTGCTCTCTGACACTGAGTAGCCATGGTTCTCTGTGCCAATGAAAACAGCACCCAGCTCTGTAGCATCCTGACAAGCACCAAAGAGGAACAGAAGTACAGCAGTGATTGACTTTGGCCTCTGATGTCCTGTTTGCATATCATCTGACAGCCAAAAGTGTGCCAAAGGTAATGTGTTTTTGCACACAGAGCCATAACTCTGGATCTAATTACAAGTCGTCAATCATAAACATCGAGGGTGCATTTCACTGGGAACTGATATTGCATGAATTGTCACAAATGTTGCACAGCCTGAACATTTACAAATGCATACACTGAACCTTTACTTTTAGTTGGTTTGGCTTCAACATCCAAAATACTATTTCTATTAATTATATATATTACAAAATATGTTTTTCACAAAAATCAACATAACCAAAAGCATTTGACAAAAACAACATTATATTTGTATTATAATGTGTCAATAGAATGATGATAGATAGATAGATAGATAGATAGATAGATAGATAGATAGATAGAT